TTAGGACTTACTCCACTCTGCAGTGCCTATGCTCACGAGGATAAAAGATCTTGGAACCGGATATGCCTCTAATTACCATATTAGATATTCGTGTATCAAAGTTCGTGAAATTAATCAAGCATAAATTTGATTACGTTATATTCCGCCATTAATTAAAATCAATATGCGCCTATAATAATAATAGTAACGCCGCTACTACCCTTGTTAGGGTTTCTGCTGCTGTTATCATTATTATCGTACCTTTGTCAGTTGCGCATACTCTATTCATCCATTTCCTATCTTCGCAATGGAGTCTGGGTAATATCACATCCTCATTACTTGACCGACTAAGGAGTCATTACTCTTGGAAGATGGACTTTCGACTCATCACCATAAACCGGAAATCGTATTACGGTCCTGAGAATTCATCGGACGACTACGGGAGATTCAAGATGTCCGCCGGATAGTAACTCACGGTCCCGATCTACCACTTGTAAATTGACCTTAATGGACTTTCGCGTCACCCATTGGAGATTCCTGACTTGAGCGTCAAACTACTTCCGGTACCTTTCGATCTCCGTTATTATGCCGTTCGAGTTTCGAGCGAGAAGTGCTTTCGAAAGTTCGATATATACGGTGGGGAGTGGAATTATTTTAATCTTAAGGGTGGTTTTTTTCTTCATCATTTTTGCAACTGGGTTCACGGGGCATTTGATGAGGACTATTTTTATGAGGGGTTAAGGGGGGAGGGAGTGCAGTCTTCGGAAAAAAAATTTTTTTCATTTTTTTTTGGACCATATTACATTTTTGGGGTGGCGAGAAAAAGTTAGAGGGGTTGATTTTATTTTGGAAATTTATATAGATTAAGAAATCCACGAACCCCCTGTCGCAGGGGTGAATAGTCCGTAGTAATTCCGTAAGGAGTGGCATCAGTAATTTATTGAATTTCATATTGCCCTCAATTTTCACGTGATCCATAATTATTGGAGACAGTGGATGATTAATTCTTAAGATCGTAATTAATAAAAAAAAAAAATATATCGCTAGAAATCCTGCAGGCAACAGAATAAATTGTTCTTTTCAAAAGCACCCTTAAAAGAAAGGACATTCTCATTAGGCACTCAAGTACTCCGTCATTAAAGCGAATATAAGCACTTATATATTTTTCAATTTTTCAATGACTTTTTTTAAAAATAATTTCATTCCATCTTTTCGTATTCCTTGTTTCATATTACAAGCCACCAATCTTTTTTTTTTTAACTTTGCCGTCCCTTATTCTTCACTCCAGTTTTTTCTTTTTCTTTTCTCCAACCCCTTTCCACTTTGACTTCCTATATTTATCTTATCCAAGAAAATCATTATTTCTCACTTTTCCGGACGCGCGGCTTACCAACAACGAGAGGTTCCGCGTTCACCGGCTTACGCCAACAATAAGGGTAGAAAATACTTTGCACCCCCCCGCCTTTACGTCCCTTAGTTGGCTACACTGACCACGCATCCCTTAACCGTCGAAACATAACAGTACCATAAAGGGAAGCCAAGCTGGAAGGTTAATTCGCAAAGGTCCGCGACGAATGACCACAAAGGGATTTTCCGCCATTTTGCCCAATTTCCCTTTTGTAATGTTCTCGTTTCATGAAAAGCGCCTGTACCTTTACCGGAGTAGTATACCATATGGATACGTAGACGCGGAGTGAGTAAACCATATAGACACGTGGACGATATGGTTAGGTTAGGTTAGGCAGAAAAACCAGGTTTTAAATTAAAACTCTTTAAAATTCTCGCTCTGACGTTCGGTATCCACCCGTGCTTATTTTCTCACGTTGTCCAACAGGGTCACCTATAATTAATTATAAATCACTAAATACAATTTATAAGGTAATTAATTACAATACAATTTTGAAATTTATCTACGTATCTGTTACAAATCTGAATACATTTCCATTGATATATTCATCGTATTTTCTCCAAAACTTTATAGAATGACCTCCTGGTCTCGGCTTATCCTATATACCTTATACCTTATACCTCAAACAAGAAAAACCACATATAAATATATTAATTACATAATTACTAGGCCTACCAGAGCAATATTTATGACCAGAGATACACGTCTAGAGGAAAATTTTATGTCAATCATAATTTTAGATTTTAAGGTAACCATTTAAATACATCTCGTTTTGGAACTTTTTCTCTTTTCTTATTTTTACTTAATTGATAGAACCAAAACTTGTCATATAATTTATGCAACAACGAAAATTTTCATATTAATACAGATTCCTACCTGAGGAAGACCCCCAAAGGGATCGAAACGTTTTCGAAAATTCCATCTTCTTTTATTAACTTGGCTGCATGGTCGACATCCTGACGGGATATCCTCCAGCAAATTCCAAATACATACTCATAGCTGACATTTCACATCACTCATATCAGTTATACATATGGATCGCTATACACAATTGCGTACTGTGTGTGCGGTATGCTGAGCTAATGCGGCATTGTAAATAATCAAACACAATTTATCCTGGCACGTGAAAAATTTCAAGAATTTTGGAAACTTCAACAATTTTGTAGTTTTTTAATTATTCGTATATCAAAACACGCGATATGACTTTAAAATAAAATTGGATTTTCGATTTTTTTACGAATTCGTTTGATCGTATGATTTTTTTTTATATGGGGCATTTTTGGACATTTTTTTCTTATGCTGATAGATCGTTTTATTTTCAACATGGATGAGTTCGTGAACTGCAGCGCATTTATTTGGAAATGCTTATGGCGTCTTGTGAAGCAATTTTTATTAGGTATTGGATAATTATTTTAGAGATTTAATATTATATTACGTATATGCCTAAATTTGTGTGATAGCATAATGATTATATTTAAGAATAATTTTTGACGTTTTTATCTTTTATTCGGAATTTGAGCTTTTTTCAGGTATTATTGGATAAAAATTGATTAGTTACCAGTTCGATAGAATTTTGTGTGTATAATAAATTAATATGTGGATTTAATTAATTGAATTGGAAACTTAATGACTACGCCTGTTTTTGTTTTTCATCAATTACGTAACGCACATGTGTTTCTCTTATCAGAGTATGCTGTTGAGTAATCGTGTGACGGACTATCGTAAAATAGATCAATTTTTTTTTTTGGTATTTATCTCGTTTAATAATGGCGTTTTCATAATTCAGGATAATGCCCGGAAAATAATAAATATTACGCAAATACACGATTTATAAATTTCCTACGTGCTACGTAGAACGCATTTACATGATAACGTATTGAAGAATATAAAAAAAAATATCGTACATCTTCATTTAATAAGCTTTGAAATTACATTAAAATCGCAGCATTGTCTCTTTACGTAAAATCATATCCGCTTGTCTGCTACTCAATCTAAGTGAATACGAAAATTCGAAAATTTATTAAAAAAATTACAATTTCTCATAAAATAAAAAGTTTACAGTGAAAATATTATAAATCGTCCGACCCCACCTACACTCAAGCATTAACAATAAAAATTAATTCAAGTAACATTCAGAATCCTCTCAAAATCGAAAATTATTAACGGACGTTACCCAAAATAATAAACGATTGTAAAAAAATAAATTTCAAAAATACTCAAAGTTCTCTTACCTAACAAAATCATTCGTTCAAAAAGAAATCTTTACCAAATTTGAATTTACAATAGCATAACACCAGCATATAGTTTGATGTAACCAACATATACTTATTATCTCATGGGGTGTCATTCCAGATGAAAGATGCTACGTCAAACGAAGGATTTTCTCTTCAGTGTAGGAAAGTCTTGTAAAGTTAATTCAATTTAAAGTTCCGAACCCGAACGAGTTTACACGCGTCAGTGTAAACTTGCCGGGCAGCATGAAGCGTAGAGATAGGAAGGATGGCGATGTAAAAAAAAAAAGAAAAAGAAAAAAAAAAGTAAACCCAAGCGAAAAGTTTAATTTTTACATAGCTCCGGTTATTATTAATCCCGCGTGACAATATGATAAAAGAGGGAGGGATAGCTGGTTAAAGTAACCTGGCGAACGAGGGTCGGTGGAAACTGAAGAGACAACGGGAAGAAGAAGGAAAAAGAAAAATTCAACTTCGTCCTCGATGTTAGGCTAAGTACCCACTCGAAGGTTGCGTAAGGCGATGCAATATTAAAAACAGTCCCTCGACTTATAAGTCCCAGGACGATGATTCCGTGAAATCAGTCGGCCGAGAGTGTACGGGTACCTTGATAATATAAGCCCCGATGTCAGGCGTCGCGACGCCAAAGACGCGGTAAGTTCCGACGTCAACAACTTTCCGTGCGCGAACTTCGCGCCTTTCGTGGGTTCGCTTCAAAGTTTTAATGCGACGGCAGCGCCTAGCTTGCGGGAATTTTCAGTACCAACTTGAGACACGAGCTAGTCGCTTTGTTATTAACGTTGAAAATTATCTTCCTGTGTATCGGGCTTTATGGTTGACTTGGGATTACGAATTTTATTTGTCGTTACGAAAAGGCCCGTTTACATTAAATTGGTCCATCTTTAAATAATATCCGTCAATTGTTACTGAAAAACAATATGGCCGACCTTTAAGATATTCCACGACCCGTACAAAGCATGAACAATGAAACGACCAAGAGAACCTCAAATACGTTTCAGCCATTCATAATTGGTTCACGGTTCGTGGTTGTGTGTTTTGACTACCTAAGGCTGGTTCTGCTTTGACTGTGGATCCGTTAATAGTTCAGAGGGCAGCACCGTTCATAATGATAACTCGGCGCGTATTGGAAATTGGAATGATTTGACAGTGGCGCCAATCGATAATTGGGTAGACGTTTGATTATCTATTAAAAATACTTTTATGGAATAACAAGGAAATTTTAATGTAATACAATCTCATGGAAATTAAATGTATGTCTTTTTTATTGTACGCTATAGATATACGTATGTATATTCTTAATATTTCTGTTTTGGTACTTATTAAAAAAAATAATAACTTTTTCCCTTTATGTTTCTTCTCAGACAAAATGGCCGACCGGATCGTCGCAATAAACTGGCCAATTCTCAAGTGCTTCCGGTCGGCAAAGTTTTCGACGTCGGAGGAGCAAATGTCCTTCCGAACGAGTGGACCAGTAGTACCCGCTACGGGCGAACGAGAGCAATCTCTTTGAAGTCGAAACGATGCAACAAAAAATGGAGGACGGTCTATATTTATAAGTATGTATGTAAAGGTATATACACAAAGTACACTAAGCTCCCTTTGGCTTCTCGAGTAATTTGCTAAATGGCGCGAGCACTTTCGCATTACTATTTTTCCGGATGAAGTCTGAGTTAGAGTGACCGGATCTTGGGGTAATATGTATATATATATATATTCGACACACGACCTCAGCTCCAAATGAGGACTGGGTCGAATCTAGGCGAACTTAGAAAGCGCTTTCTATCTTGTTTTACAATTTTTTAAGTTCACGAGATGCTACTTGGGTGGGAGTGCATTTATGGTGTGGGTGTTCATTATTGGTTTTTTTTTTTTTTTAACAAAATAGTGGATATGTATGATACCATATGTTGACTGTCAAATGTGTTTTTGGGAATGTTCGCTATGCTTTTGGTTAATAAGGATTAGGTATGCGGTCTTTTGGATTTTGATTGAGAGGATCAGGAGTGAGTAGAGAGTGAATCGAGATGAAGATCCTGTTCTTGATCTTTGAGATTTGAAATTGATTATTTTGTATGGGATTTGGTTAGATCAATTGTCACGATACTGTTTAGCGTGTAGAATGTAAATTTATTTTTGAAATTTTTTCTAGATTTTATTCATTGAGGATTTGATTTAAATTTTTGGATTTTTCATCGAGAGGACGAGGAGAGAGTAGAGAGCGAATCAGGATAAATAAAGATCCTGTCCTTGATCTTTGAGAAAGCTTGGCGATCTTGAGTGTATGAATTTCAAATGAGATTTATTTGAGTTGCTTGGTATAATACGGCTTAGCGTTTAGGTGTAAATATATTTTTATAATTTCTTTTTCAAAATTCCACGACCATCAGTGTTACAAGTCAGCAACTTCTATTTGCCACGATTTTCTTTTTTTTTTTGATCCATTTAAATACGTCGTATTCACGTATGGTCTAATGACATTAATTACTTGAATTTTATAGAATTTGATATTATGATTTTTAATTAAAAAATTTTTTCAGAAGTATCTAATGTCACATTTTTTATCTTTTCAATTTTCACGTTGCACTTCATATCATTGAAGTTTATGGGAATCCTATGAGCACTGCTTATAATTAAAGCGACGCTATGCGCTAATTATGTTGGAAAGTTCGATTTCCATGAATCAGTTGTACCAAATTGAATTTTGCAGGTGACTCATTAGCGTGAAGAATTTCTACGCGGCAGACAGTTTCCAACGCGACACAGCGATACGAGTGAGTTTTCAATGCAGCACTATCGCAATGACGCAAAATAGTTGGAAGTTAATTATTTTCTTTAAAGAAAAATTCGATTTCATTATTTTTATTCAGTCACCATGAATTGTCAGAATTGTCAGAAATTTTAATTGGCAGATTTTAATCGACCGAATGCCATAAATTCAATAATAAACGAATGTTTGTACACACAAAAGTACACGCGTATGCAAACTACCCTTGTTGCGATATAAAAAAAAATTTAATAATTTTAATTCAGCATCCAACAATTCGAATTGAATTTTACAAAATTTTTCATATCGATAATAAATCATTCAGTCCTTACGTCACGCAGCTATGTAAAAAATAATTAAATTTTCAATATCCGTCAAAAGTCAAAATTTCAGTGAAAAGGTCCCAGTAAAGTTTCACAACGTCAAAGGATACGCGTAAACTGTACAAGAGGCTGAAAATCCTAGGGGGTTGGGGCACAGAGGTATATTTTCATCTCCCGGTAGGATCATCCCGCAATATCCAGGAATAACGAAAACTTTGGTTTATCTTCAAGAATATTCCGCGAGTTTTATCTCGTTCGTTCCGTACGAGAAAGACGCTCTTCCGGTAGAGAAAATAGAGCGACGCTGGCGCCATCTGCCCCACAGGCAAAACCCAAGGATGCCAAAGGCTGATAAGAACGCGACTGTCCCGGCTAATTGCACTTCGGAAAACTGCAAGTTACTCGATTCGATTTGCTGGCGGATTACGGAATATCTACCCAGGGGTAGTTGCGGCATCATAAAGGGGGTGGCTTTCCACAACGAGGCATATAGGTACAGTGGTAAGGGAGTCTTATTTATTTTTTCACCAATCCTCTTTCGTAGCTCCTTGGAACCCCGTAGCTTTTTTGAGGCCCTTCATACCCCCTCAACCCGCTTATCATTTTTTGTCTTTTCATTAAAATCTTTCCTCCTTCCCCGCAGACTCTTCGCCGAGCAAAAAGAAACGGAGCCTTTAAAGGCTTAGAGCCCACGGATAACAAAGAGCAACGCTTATCCGACAAAAATGCTGTTTACCCAGGGACGTACCCTCACGCCAAGTAACCCTCAACTTATGGTATGACGCAAGGGGGTGCCAAAAAATTTGAAAAAAATTACTGGTTTAATAAAAATCCTCATAGATCCTAAAATTGTTTTTTTTTTTTTTTTCAAAAATCCCACCGCCTAGTCTCGTGTCGCATTCGACTCGTACGACGAATTTCTTTCAGACTTCTTATTTCCCATACTAAAAACTCTCTCCGTGCATACGTCTACATTCACATACTTTGAATTCACAAGTACCACCTCCC